TACGCACCCCTCCACGCACCACGGTGGCGTCGGGGGAGGGGATGATGGTCATGGCGCCGCGCCGTGTGCGGGTGTCCATCAGCACCACGTCGGTCTGCCGCCCCGCGGCCGCAAAGCTGGGGGTAAGGGCCAGGCACACCAGCTCCTCGCCCGCGTTCCTGGGCTTCAGGTCAATCTAGCAGGGAGGGGGGGGGGGAGGTATTGGGGTGGTTGGCTGAGAAGCAGTCGAGGGAGTGGATGGGGGCTGGCGGCGGGAATCAGCTGCAGGGGGGCCATGGGGGAGATTGCAGCCGATGCAGCCTCCCGCAGGCTCACGCTCTTGGAACTGTCCAGGTCTTTCCAAGCGAATACGGGGAGCGGTAAGCCAGCATACTGGCCATGCCCCGCCCTTCCAGGGCCCCTTGCAGGGCCACGACCGACGCCCCAAGCCCCCCCATCCCCAAGGCTCCCCCCCCCATCCCCAAGGCTCCCCCCCCCATCCCCCAAGCCCCCCCTCCATCGCACCCTGCGTATGAGGCGCAGGTTGTCGCCCGGGTCGTGCAGGCGCACAGCGCCCTCCAAGGACAGCGTGGCCAGGGTCCGGGTGGCGGCGTCGTACTCCACGCCGCGCACCTTCCCGCCAAAGGACTTGCGAAAGTCGCCGTGCCGGCCGTAGTCCTTGGTCAGGACCAGGCCCGAGGCGGCGGGGGTGGCGGGGGTGGCGGCCTCCGTGCCTGGCCCCGGTCCCGCACCGCCCGCGCCCGCCCCCGGTCCCGCACCGCCCGCGCCCGCCCCCGGTCCCGCACCGCCCGCGCCCGCCCCCGGCCTCACACCGCCCGCCCGCGCCTCCTCCTCCCCGTCGGCCGCCGCATCGGCCTCGTCCTGCCCGGCGCCGTCGCCCAGCACGGCCTCCTCGGGCAGGGTCCAGAGCCCCACGCTGGCGTCGCGGCTGGCGGTGACGAGGTGCGCGTCGGAGAGCCAGGCCAGGCCGAAGACCCAGTCCAGGTGGCCCACCAGCGTGGCCACGGGGCGCCAGGTGGCGCGGTCCAGGACCACGGCGTCCGCGGGGTTGTCGCCGCCGGTGGCCACCAGGCGGCGCGCGGGGGACAGAGCGATGGAGTGGATGCCGCAGTGGCCCCACTCGTGGTCGAAGGTCTCGCGCGCGCGCGGCGGGGCGGGGGGGAGCGGGATGGCCCGGCTGCGCCCGGTGAGCGTGTCGAGGCGCAGCAGCTGGTTGCACTTGGTGCCCACCAGCACGTGGTCGCCGTCCTCCCAGGCCTGCAGGACGCGCAGTGGGGAGGGGGCTGCTGGTGACAAGAATAGTGCACAGGGGTATGCGTGGCGGAGCTTCAGACCTGGGAATGTAGCCATCCTCTTCCAAGTCGTCCATGAATGGCCAGGGCAGTTCGGCCCCCCTCCTGCCCTGCCCAGCAGGTGCAACCTCGCGCCAGTGTGAAAACACTCACGCAGGCAAAGGCCTTGTCCAGGGTCTTGCAGACGTACTCTCGCTCAGACCATGTTTGTGGCAGGCGGTGGAGGAGGTCGCGCTGCAGCCAGCGGCGGTGGCCCGCCCTGCGACGCGGGGCATGGGAGGGCGGGTCAGCGGAAAAGCCACCAGGCATGGCGTTACCCTGTGCCCTCTCCCTGAATGAGGCCACAGACGACAAACATCCCTGTCTCACCCGCCATCATGAGCTAGCTGGCCGGCGCAGACCTCGCCGGGCACACTCATTGCCCTCCTCGGTTGTTACCGCGAGGAGGGCGTCACCCCGACATCACCAAAGCCTTCACCGCGAGCAGGGTCCGGTTGGACGGCTCAGGTAGTTTTCTTTGGGTGCAGAGCAATGGAGACTATGGATGGTATGTGCAAGTTTGTTGAACACACAGTATAGCCACTCCCTTTTGCCCCTTCCGGCAGGGTCCCTCCTCCAGGGTATCGTCCGCGCGCAATTGGTGTCGGCATAACGGGATGCAATCAAGAAGTGGATTACCGCTGCGGAACAATCTCCCAGATTATATCTGCGCAAGTTGCTATACATCCTGTGCATCTGAGTGTGGCGTTCTCCCGGCGCTAAACTTGACTTGGGTCCTATACACCCCTGTGTGGATCACTTCGCCATGGTACGCCATTCGTCATTAGCCGGGCTACTACTCACCCTCCTGGCATCGCGCTGCCTGGCATTTGAATGGAAAGACTGTGGTGGTGCGGGCCAAGGGTTCTCGCTGGAGGACGTCACCCTGACCCCCGAACCCGTGGCACCCGGAGCGACTGCGGTCTTCAACATCAAGGCTACCTCAGGTGTGCTCGACTGTCTGATGCCGGTGTCTGCCCCGGAAAGCCCGTCTCCTGGCTTATCCTGCATGCCCGCGAAACCCCACTCAATCCTGCTTACCCTCTGTTGACAGAGTCGCCCGTGCTCGCCGGCACCATCAACATGGTGGTGCAGTATGCTGGATTTCCCATCTGGACCCAGGCTGACGACCTTTGCACCAAGATGACATGCCCCTCCTCTGAAGGCCCCGTCTCCGTCAGCTTCCAGCAACAGTTTCCTGTCATCACCCCCCCGGTGAGGCATTGGTTGTGGTGCGATGGAGGGGCATTCTGGGTATAATGATGGCTTACAGCGTTCCTGCATCCTTGCAGGAGCAATCCGATTTGAATTGCAGGCTGCAGCCTCCATGACTCCAGCATCGCATGGAGCGTGTTACGCCACGACGATCTGAATTGCAAGCTCTGCCCTCCATGTCGTCGCGTCGGTGGCAAACCTCTGCCCCATTTGCACTCTAGGGCCAGTACACTGTGACTCTGCGCGGAGCCGATGCTGCCGCCAAGCCCCTCTTCTGTGTTGCGGTCACCTTCCAGGTGGGGGAACTGGATTGTCGCACACCTTGGGCTCGCCTTCGTGGGTCCAAGTGTTCCTGGTGACAAAGACTATGGTGGCTGACTCGCCATGTGATTATGCACTGGTATGAGAGCCAGACCATCGTCTGTGTTCCCCCCCGGGCTTAGCGCTATCTTCCTCTGCAAACTGCACCAGGTCACCCCTGCCTATGACGGCGCACTGGATGGCCTGGAGGAGGCTAAACAGTCCATGCTCGCAGAATTTAGCCGCAGGAAGCTGCTGACCACCTGACTTGGGATGACATCTGGCTGCGCGGATCCTGAAGCCGCAAGTCCTGGCTCCAAAGTTGGCAGCTTTCGCCTTGTGCTATCTTGTTGCTGTGAGCGTTCACAGCTCTGCTGCAATCCGTGCTCCATCGGGATAGAGCCAAGGGAATAGAGAGGGGATTACATCGTGACCACCTCGGCAGCAGCGGGCGCATCACTTCTTGGCCTCCGCCGGAGTGGGCTTTGGGGGCAGCACCCCCACGACCCCGGCAATCACCATGCAGCCCCCGCCCACCCAGGTGAGGGGCCCCAACGCGGAGTCCCCTGGCAGCAGGAGGGCTGTTAGCAGCGCTGACCACAGCGGGACGGCCGAGAATGCGATCTGGGCGGTAACGGCGTCCACGGAGGATTGGCCCTGGGGGTTGGACAGCACGGAGGGGTGGATGTCGGTGGGCTTGACAGTGTCTGCTGTCGGAAGAGTCACGCACAGGACTCAATCCCTCACCGAGAGACCTCTGCGCAAATCCAAGGCGTTCCTTGCAAAGCAGGGCCCGGCATCGCTACTAAAGATCCCCCTCCCAGATCTGCCAAGCCGAGTCAGCACGCCACCTGGACATGGAGGTAGGCCGCCAGGGCCCCCGGCCCTGAGGCCGACCAGGCTATGGCGGCCCAGCCCTGCCAGCCGTCGCGCCAGCCGTCCCAGAGGTGCGCCTGGTGCTGCTGCACCTGGAGGCCCAGCGCCGCGCAGGACACTGCGCCAAGAAAGAGCGACTTGCCCAGCGCGAGCTGCAGGGGCTGCACGCGCCGTGCATAGACTGGGATGCGCACCGTGGCCGCTGAGTAGGCGGCCGCCGCGCCCAGGGTCAGCAGGTCGCCGCCTGCAGAGGTGATGGAGGGGGGGGAAGGGGTGGGGTACCAAGGTCAGAGCTCCGGGCACTGATCTAGGAGGGAGTGTGGTGCGACAGGACAAGATTCAGAAAGTGATCATCGGCAGGTCCATCAGCTTCCTCATGCAGCTGTCGAGCCTGGAAGCCCTTGGGAACGTTTGGAAACCATCAAAGGCGTCCCTGCTTGCTCTCCTCTTGCGGACCCACACCAGCCCCGCCATCGACAACCCAGAGGCCGCACCCGACACGCCTGCCCCGAAGCCAGCGCCGCCCTGGGTGGTGTCCCCCACCACTGCCAGCGTCCCGGCCAGGCCCAGCGCGGATCCGAGCCAGGCGTTGGTGGTCAGCCGCTGGCCCCCGACGGCCGCCAGCATAGGGGTGAAGAGGGCGGAGGCCTGAATCAAGAAAGCGCTGCGGGTGGCCCCCGTCACCTGCGCAGGGCGGCAGGGTGGGGCTGGTGGGGCTGTTTGCGACCAGCAGGCACACATGTGCCTGCCGCCTTGTGGCGGGGGTCCGTGGCTGTGCCCTCCCAGCACACTGTACATCCCTGGGCAGGGCCGCAGCACATACCCTTGGCCCACCTCCAAGCCCCAGGCCTGGGCTGTAGTGCCAGTGGTGTTGTATAGCCCGATCTCGAGACTGCCCAGCATCACTGGGGGCAGGGCCAGGAGCCAAGCTGGGGAGAGAGGAGTGGCCGGCGCGGCCGTGCCCGGGCCCAGCTGCTCCTTGCTCCCGCCTTCCCCCCAGCTGCTGAATGGGGACCCATTCGAGGTGGGGGCCGGCATGTCTTTCCGACTGTCGACCAGTGCGTTTGCAGCAAGCAGCAGGACGCTCTGGAGCACTCCACGAGCAGCGGTGAGGACCTCGGCGGACGGAGGGCTGGGCAGGGAATAGGCATACCTGCAAAGAACAGGGCTCATGATGTTCAAGCCCTATTCCATGACAGTTGTGGAGTCGCCCTTGTGCTATGGAACGTCCTCCTTCATGGATGGCATCACCAACCCAGGTACTACTCGTGCCTGAGTGTTGGCGAGTAGCTGCCCCACAGGAAGGAAACCACAAGGAGGAGGAAAACCCCTGTCCAGCGTGACTGAGCTGGATCTTGGTCGACCGATTGCCCAGATGCATAACATTGAAGATTCGGTCGATAATTAATGCTCCGTACACCGCATGATGGGGAGAACAGGGGTCTGCAGGCGCTGCAAGTACTATTCGGAGCACGGTAAGCTTGCGGCCTGGGCGGCCGGACCCCGCGCAGGATGCCGCGATAGAGTGGCCGGGATGCGCATGTGGACATCAGTATGTTCATTACAGCTGTGTCATGGATGTTGGAGTGCTGCCTGCCTCATGTTCGCGAGGATGCTGGATCTGGGTTAAGAATCGTCCGGCGCGCGGGAACGAACACACCCTGTGGTGCACATTCACCAGCTATTGGAGTTTCCCACGGCGGTGATCGAGCTGCCCAGCAGCGGAGCGGAGGCTCCTATACTCCCGAGATACCCTGATAACCCCTCAGACTTGCTCTCCATACGCTCATGTCAATCCCCTCCTCGAGCTTGCTTAAGAGGAATACCCTGACACCCTACCCGCACCAACGCCGTACTGTTCTCGTCCTCTGCCTGACAGCACTGCTCGCCTTCACAACTCCAATGACGAAAGCTCAGGAGCAGAGATGGAGAAACTGCTCCGACGCTCCCACGCCTCTCACGGTCGTGGAGGCCCTCGTCGAGCCTTCGCCGGTGCAGGCCGGCAAGGAAGCTGCATTCATGATAGAGTACGAGAGCGGCATGGAGGTCAGTGCAGGCATTCTCGATGTCACCGTCAAGTACCTCGGCATTCATGTGTGAGTTGAGGGAGTGGTGCGCAGTTTTATTATGTGTGGCAGTCTCGCTCCGCTGTGTTTAGGGCGAATGCGAGCCCTGGGGTTCATGCCAGCCCTGAATGCTCGACCCATGTGCATACATGCACTTGTCACTCCGGGGGACGTAAGCAGTTGACCAGTTCACTGGACCATCAATGCAGGTATCACAAGTCTGGAGATTTGTGTTCCGCAGTGCAGTGCCCCTTGCCAGCTGGGAGTGGCAGCTTTGTCCTGAAAGAAAAGATGCCTGCCATCGCGCCTCCGGTGGGTGATAATGGATCGGGGGCTCTGTTGACTGAGCGCCATCAAAGCATGCGCATTCGTGATCCACATAATGCATGCATGGACATCTGGCATATCTCCCTGCTGGCCGGGCAGTGTGCCCGTCTGGCTGAGACTGTCCTTCAGACAATGACTAATTTCCTGGTTTCCCGTTACTAATGGTGAGCTCACATGTAATATCAAGTCTGAATTTCACACATGCTCAACATCCCCTTGCATGCACGCAGGGTCACTATTCGATGTTGGTGAGCGTGAGGGAGCCTGAGACCGACCGGCAGCTGCTGTGTGTGGAGATGGACTTCAGCCTTTCCTCCTGGGCCGGCGCACTGAGCAAACCCTTCTCCTGGCTCATGGGCCCCCAGCTCGGCGCACAGAGGGCCGACAACCACGCCGCGGGGGCCTTCGTTGTGGACCACTGAAATCCTGGACGTGTTAAAGACTGTCGCCGCGGCCCACCCAGCGTGGGATTTCCAAAGAAGCCTCGCCAGCTCGTGTACTCTAGGGAGGCGAGCACCCCCTGTTTTTAGACTACCCTGTCGCTGCTGATTTGTCCGTGTCACACTTGAAACACGATTCTGACCCTCCCATTCTTTGCAGCGTCGCGAATCTCCCCGCCCTGCGCCTGTCTCACGTTCCCCTTGGCTGCGCATGGATGTAAGCCCTGCTCCCCTATGAGTGTATAGGCGGTTTGAAAGGGGAATTATGTGCACGGCTGCCAAATGAAAGCAGGCTGGCTGCGAGTGAGGAATGCAAGGGTGTCCTAAAGAGCTGCAAGGTACAGATTGGTCTTCCAGTAGCCTGTGTGTCGCTCGGCGGCACACACGGGGAAGATGCCCGGCGGTGATGCAACGATTAGGCCCCTGCCAGTTTGCGGACTCTGCCGAGGGGTTGGAAGGCGGCAAAAGGCGAGCCCGGCAGGTTTGGAGGGAAACCAGTGGGCCGTGGTTGGGGCATTTTGTGTGGGCTGAAGGAGCGCAAGGTGGACTATGCTGGGCGGGGCGGCCGGCGCCAGGCGAGGCAGAGGTACACCCTCCAGGGTGGGAGGAGAGACCTTGCTAGGCCGCGCCTGTGCCGGGCGTTACCGTGTGGCATCGCCGCCGCTGTGCAAGGCCACCTGCGCATCCGCGAGGTCGGCCACGGCCGCCGCCGTGGCATGCACGGCTGCATCCATGTTCTCCAGCTCAGCGGCGCCTCCGAGGCTGTTGGTCGCGCCGGTGGCAGATCGGACCTGGCCCTGGGTCGCGGTCGCAGCGTCGGCTCGAGCCGCTCCTGCTGCGGCCGGCTGGTTGCCGACCGCAGGCGAGGGGGAGGCTGCCGCCTTGCCACCGTCGGCAGTTCCCATTGCAGCCTGGGCATCGTGGGCGGTCCCCGTCGCTGCTGCAGCATCGGCATTTGCAGCAGTCTCGCCACCGACACTCTCCACCGCCGCGCGGCTGCCGTGTCCGGCGGCAGCCACCGCCTCGGCGCCGCCGGCATTCGCCGCGGCTGCGCCGAGGGCAGCGCGCGCCAGGGCACCCGGCTCGGCGTCGTTGGCCCCCTCGTCACCCCCCGTCGCCTCTGCGTGCCCAGCCCTCGCCGCTGCATCACCAGCGCCGCCTCCCATGCGCCGCCTGGCTGCGCCGGCCTCGCGATTGACGAAGAGCAGCGTCTCGGGGCTGCGCGGCGAGGCGCGCTCCAGCAGCGCGCCCCAGTCCTCCACGTGCAGGCGGCACCAGGTGGGCTGCCTCAGCGCGGCCAGCTCCTCGGGCGTGACCCCGCCGCGGCGCCGCACGCCGTAGGTGGCCGCGTACCAGCGCTCGTCACAGACGTAGCCACTGTGCGAAGCCTCTGTGTAACCCGCGTCGTGCAGCGGGCGCAGGATGGCGGCGACGGGGTCGGGCGTGCCCGCGCGGCGCAGCGCGGCTGGGTTCCACTCCAGCGCGATGACGGGGGCCGGTGCCGCGGCCAGGAGCGGCGCGAAGCCCTCAAGGATGTGCGCCTCCCAGCCGTTGGCTGCATGTTTTTTGGGGGGGGGGGGAAAGTGACAGGGAGGGAGGGGGTTGCATGTATGTGTCAGCGAGCCCAGCTGGACCAGGGGCTGGCCGGCTTGACCTCCACAGTGGCCTCCGGCAGTTTCTTCGAGCTCAGCACATGCTTCCCCCACCTACCCCACCCACCTACCCTCGCCCCCACCTGAGATGCGCAGGGCGTCGACGCTCAGCCCCGCGGGGAGGGCCTGGGCCAGGGTCGTGCGGCGCGCTGGGCGGCGGCACTCACCCGGCTCCTCCCGCGCTCCGTAAGCCTCGGGCGGGCCATACCCGCGCGCCAGCTGCACCGCTGCCTCGCCCAGCGGCGACGCACCGGTAGCACCGCCAGCCTCGCCCCCCGCCGCCGGGACATCCAGGCACAGCCGCGCGGATTGCACGACGGCGCCCAGCACCTCGGTCTCGTGCAGCGCGACGCGGTCGCCAAAGCCGTTGTAGGCCACCGAGGCGCGGAGCGCGGCGGCGCTGCGCGGCCCGGCCTCAAAGGCGTGCACCGCGTGCCCGCGCGCGGCGGCCGCCAGCGCGACCACGCCGTAGCCTGCGCCGACGTCAACCAGCGTGCCGCGGCGCTGGCCAACGCCGCCCAGGCTGCCCACCAGCACCTCGGCCAGCGTGGGTCCGCGCAGGGGCTGCACGCTGGGCTGCCAGGACCCGTGCGCGGCCAGCGCAGCAGCCACGTCGGCGCCGGACTGAGACTCGCCCAGGCCGCCGCGCGGGGCCAGGGCCACGTAGGGCGGGTCGAAGGTGAGCGAGGTGGGGTACAGCTGCTCGGCGCCGCGGTCTGCAGCCTCCAGCTTCCTCACCTCTGCAGCTCTAGGAGTGGTTGTTGGAGCCGGGGGGGGTGATTTGGAGGGGGGACCAGCGAGGGACAGAGGATAGGAAAGGATGGCGATGACAGGGCAGTGTGGTGGGGGGCCCATTGACGCACCGACTGCCACGACCCCGCACAAGCCGGCCACTGCCTTTTGTCGAGGTCTGTTGGACAGACGCGCCACCCAGACCAGGACCCCGTTTGTTTCGCACCCCCCCACCGGCGAGCATTCGCCCCCTCCCCCTTCCCATGCTCACTCCGCGTCGCCGGGGCGGGCCAGGAAGCGGCGGGCCAGGGCACGCGCCACCTCCCCCGCCGACACCTGCCAGGGCCAGCGTCGGCGCGAGCGCCAGCTGCCCATGAAGTGGTGCAGCACCACCACGCCGGGGTCGAGCGGCGTCAGCCCATGGGCGGGGGCCTTGGGCGCGCCAAAGGCCACGCGCGGCAGGATGCGCACGGTCCAGGGGTCGCGCGCCGCGCCGGCCCAGGGCGAGCCCGCGGCCGCCTCCAGCACCACGTCGGTGAAGAGGCCGGGGCCGGTGCGCTCCAGCGTGTCGATGGCAGGGGAGAGGGAGTGGCGGGTGGCGACCCCCGCCGCGATGCGGTCGCAGGCGGCGCGCAGCGCGGGGTGGCCAGGGGCCGCGGCGAACACCCACTGCAGCACCTGACGCGGGCGCACGTACCACGAGTCCACGGTGGTCTGGGCGTCGGGGAAGTCGCTCTCCCAGCCCACCACCAGAGTGTCGGAGGAGGCGAGCAGGCCGTCCAGGGGCTGCCGCGCCTCGGTGTCGATGTCAGCGTAGACGCCGCCCAGGCGCAGCACCACCATGTAGCGGAAGAAGTCGGAGCGCTGAACGTCGCGCTCTAGACCCCGGTAGGCGGCCAGGTACTCGGGGAACTCGCGCCGAACAAAGTCCAGGCAGTCCTGTGGGGGGTTTTGTGGAGAAGGATGTGAAGGGGTACTCTGAAGGGAACACAGAACGGGAAGCAAAGCGCAGGGCTCGAAGCACCAGGGCTGGGGAAAGGTAGGCACGCAGCGAGCAGCACTGGATGGCACCGCCCTCACACCCTCCTTGCTCGATTCCCCACCTGGTCGTCGTAGAAGCGGATGTCCCAGCCCGGGTGCAGCGTGCGCCAGCTGAGCATGAGGCGCCGCGCCGACTGCGGCACGTCCGCGCTCTTGTAGGTCTGGTGCAGGATGCGGGGAATGAGCTTGGGGGCGCTGGGCATTGCCGGGACGCGCGGCACGCCCTCCTCAGGCTCCAGGTCCCCGCTCAGGCTCAGCAGCCTGGCCAGGTCCGCGGAGCGGCTGGCAGGGGAGGGCCGGGCCCCCAGGAGGCCCGTCCCCAGGGAGGGGCCCAGGAGGTGCATGGCCGCTATCAGGCAGGTGAACCCCACCGCGACTTGGGCCACGGTCACTCGTCGACGCCTGCGGCCGCGCCATGCCGGGCTCCGGGCGGGGAAAGCCTTCTTGAGGTCGTGGGGACGCCTCGCATGCCCGCCCGGACGCGGCCCGGCCCCAGTCCAGCCAGCCAGTGTGGCGGAGGCGCAGTGTGCGGCCCACTCAGAGGCACGTATTCAGATGACAGGGGGCAGGTCTATAGCAGGTGCCCCATGGCGTGGGGGTGAGGGCCTCCCAGGGTGGGCGGGCCGGGAGGACAGATGTTCCAACAAGACGTCGGCAAAGGGGTGCGGGGCCGGGAGGAAACCTCCTTGAAACAACACACAACGTCGATGACACTTGAGAGGGGACGACAACTGAAAGCAGCAGTACCCCCTCGGTCCGCGGTGCGCGCCTGCGTGAGTGTCAACCCCAACGGGCAGGTATTGGGAAGGTCCCAAAAGATTCAGCGACGAGGGGAGCGATGAGTCCTGCTTCCTTGTATTGAAACAAAAGCGATCAAGTCCTCAATGTAAAATCGCGTAGGCACCTCCTTCCTCTGGCCCATTCGTGGGCCGTATTGAAAACCAGGCGCGACTCCCGGGCGGTGGAGAGTGGTGGAGGGCTCACGTGGCCAAGCCACACCCTCGCGCCCTGGCTCATGTCGGAAGAGCAGCTAAGCACTCCGGCATCTCAGAACCTTTAGGATGCTTGCTGGAATACATTCGTGTCAGTTAAAGCCAGAATTTATGCTCTGCCAAGCCAATGCGGAGATTCTGATGCCGTCGCACGGCTCCTGTGACTTCCATGGCGAGCAAAACAACCAAGCTGCTTGGCCTGGCTGCCCTCTCCCGAGCCCTGGTCTTGGTCGGCATTGTTCTCTCCGATGCAGCATTTGTTGATCTGGATACTTCTGCATCCCAGCAGAATCGACCCTGTGATCGGCAGTGTTCCGGCACAGGAACCTCCTGCCTAGCCGGTGGTGAGTAGGATGAGGGGACTGTGGGGTTGGTGACTGTTATCTACATGTAGAGGACCGCTTCGTACCATGTCGAACAATGCAGCACCCCCTCTCCTGCAAGCACATTGGTGCCCTTCCTCATCACACAGGCAGTGCCCACACAACCATCTTTGATGATGTGTCGGCCTGGGACTCGGTGTTCTTTGTCCGGGTGGCAAAGTGTGGATATGAAACCGACATGATCAATGCCTTCTTTCCGCTGCTGCCCTTGGTCATGCGATTGGGTAGTGCCTTCCTCTGTGAGTGGTGGGAAGGGAACGGGGTGTGCCGGGGGGTGGTCAGTGTGTGGGGGTTTGTGGTGGGGAGTTGTGAAAGCAAAGCTCAGGGATTCCACGAAGGGGCAATGAGCCCTGGCTACAGCCCATCATGATACTCACAATTGATTTCCACCATCAACGTAGTACCCCTGCACGGCCTCATGCCGTTGGAGTCTCTCCTGACACTGGCTGGCCTGCTGGTCAACATCGCCGCCTTCTCCGCGGCCGCCCTTGCCCTGTGGAGGTGTGTGCCTGTGCAGAGAGCGGGGCGGGGGAAGGAGACAAAGTCATCAGATTCCATAGCAATGTGTGGTGGATGTGCTCACCGGTGACGGTCTCTGGAGCAATCAAGTTTCTGGGATGGTACGTTCCTCGGCCCCCCCACTCTACACCTACCCATGCTCCACCCCCACCCCCCTCTCACACACAAAACACTCTGCAGGCTGTCTGTGCAAGTGCTGGGGGATGAGAGGTGGGCAGACGCTGCCGTGCTCTTTTTCTGCATCAATCCAGCCTCTGTGTTCTACTCTGCGGCCTACACAGAGAGCCTCTTCGCTGCCTTCACCTTCTGGGGCATGCTCCTCGTGTACACAAATCCCTGGACAGCGGTGGCCGCCTTCACGCTGGCAGCCATGGCTCGCTCCAATGGTGAGCCTCCTGGCGTGGGAGCAAGGGGAGGGGGTGGGGCCTGGGGACCAGACCTGTGTCTTTGCCACAGTGATTGCTCCTCAGCTCCTGTGCCAGGCAGTCACCCTGACTCCCTGGCCACTTGCCATGGCTCAGCCTGTGCCTCACCCGTCCTCCACCCCCTGGAACATGCTGCAGGCATCCTCGGGTGCTGGTTCTTGATGCACGCGCTGCTTTCTAGCACCTTCCGGACTGGCAGGGTGTCGTGGACCGGCGTCCTGCGATGTTGGATCGGGTGCCTCACCATCTGCGCGCCCTACGCCCTCATGCAAGGCATGACGCGGGGGAGTTGGGGCAGGGGCTGGCTTGCAGCTCCCAGGCCAGCCGGCACGGAGCCGCTTCTGTATGACCCGGGGCCAACCTTCAAATCCAGTCCTCCACCCCGCAATTTATAAACCCCTGCCCTCTTTCCACCTCACACGCATGTGCAGTGCGGGGTTACTTGACCTACTGCGGCGTGGGTAGGGATGCAGCACTCCAGCCCCCGCCCTGGTGTCAGAGCACATTGCCAAGCCTGTATGGCTATGTCCAGCGGCAGTACTGGGATGTGGGTTTCCTGCGCTTCTACTCCAAGCTGGATCGGGTGAGGCACCGGCGAGAGGCAGGCGGCGGCCTGTGCTTGCGTGGCAGTGAGACGCCCCCTCAGTGCCTCAACCCTTCCGTGCTTGCTCCTACCCCTGTACCTCAGCAGGGCACCAGTACTAAACCTACCCAGCCATTCCCTGTCCGCCTTTTCTCTTCTGCATCTTTTTTCACGCATGCAACCCCCGCCTGCCTTCCTCCCTTCAAAGCCCTACCAACACCCCCTCGTCCCAACCCCCCTCATGAACACACCACAGTGGCCCAAGGTACTCCAGTCCATCCCCGTCGCCGCACTTTCCTTCGCCGGCTGCTGGACCTGGGCCTGCGCGGACTGGGCCTGCGCGCTATCGCTGGGCATGGCGCGCCGCGCCCCGGCCAGGCCGCTCAGTCCGCTGGCTCGGACGGGGTCGGGGCCGCTGCGGCGCCCCTCGCGCTGGGCCCCCGGCCCGCCGCCCTCCCGCCGCGGCGGTGTGGGCGCGGCCTTCCACACGCTGGGTGCGGGCGTGGCGCAGCCCTGCGCCTGGCCGCCAGAGGCCCCCGCCCTGGCCCCCTACATCTACCACTGGGCGCTGATGACGGCCGTGGCCGCCACCGCCATGCACGTGAACGTGGCGACGCGCTTCCTCTCCAGCTGCCCGCCCCTGTACTGGTACGCGGCCGCCTGGATCAAACAGGGCAGGCGCCCCGCGCTCGTGCTCTGGGGCTGGGCGCTGGCCTTCACCGTGCTGGGCACCCTCCTCCTCCCCAATTTTTATCCCTGGACATGAGGAGAGGAGGGTGGGGGGGGTGTCAGAAAGGCTTGGGTACACCCACAGCGTTCTTGTGGTTAGGGACCGCGCCGTCAAAGGTCAGCTTTTCGATACCACGGGCGCCGCACGCCTATGACGGACCACTGAAAGTGAAATCGCGGCTCTACCCTCCTGCTTTCTTTTCTTTATTGCTGCAATGCCGCCGCTGAATGTCTTGCAAAGCAGAACTTGATACTTGATCGCTTTTGGCATGTGGATAACATAACCATTATGGTACACCGGAACATGGAATATGGCACAATGCCAGGGACAGCTTCACTACTGTCACGTTATCAACAACCCACACGGTCAGAGTCATGTGGCCTGCAGGTCGGCCCCCACGCGCATGCAGGGGGTCGCAGCCAGGCTGACTTCGAGGTTCACACCCTTTCCGCCTCCCCACAGCCTCTTCAGGCTGCCCTGGACCAGGGAGGCAGCGGCGGCCGCCTTCCTCTTCCCAGTACCCGCCCTCTGCGCCAGGATGTCCGCCAGAATGCGTGCCTGCTCCCCGACGTCAATGTTGGCGAGATCCACACACGCAGGGAGCTTCGTCGACCTCTTTGAGCAAGGTGTGTGGCCGCCAGGCGAGCCATCCTCCCAGTCTGTGGCGGACTGCGACCCTCCAGGGTCAACAGCCATGGGGCTCGATGGCGCAGGGGTTTCTCCCTTGACGAGATGGAAGGTAGGTGACTTGGGTTGCTCCCTCTTGATGATGTGGGGGGTTGACGGTTTGGCTTCCTCACCCTTGGTGATTGTGGAGGTTGACAGCGCAATGTGTTCAACCTTGATGAGGTGGAGGCTCGCTGGCGCAAGTTCCTCGGTCCTCACAGGCGCGCAACCCTGAGCATGTGCTCCGGCTTCATGGAAACTCTGATGCGCTACCTGCACTCGGATGTCTGCTGCCTGGCAAGCCGCCGCTCCGCCCTCCTCTTCCTCAGTCTCTTTGCACTCCGCCTCCTCCGCCTCTTCGCACCCCTCTTCCTCCACCTCTTTGCACTCCGCCTCCTCCGCCTTCAGGAGCAACCCTCCCTCTCGCGTGTGGCCAGCGCTGTGGCGCTCGCCGCCACACACTCTGCTCAGTACACTCTCCTTGGCGGCCCTGAAGTAGGCGTGCAAGCGGCTCCTGTCCCGCCTCAGGTCCATCAGGTCCGCGAAGCAATCCACCAGCGCCCGGGCCTTGCCACTGTCTGCAGTTGGCGACATGGAGGTGATCCGTGAAGGTATCTGATGGCAGGGCAGGTGGGGGCCGCCAGGGTTGGGTGCCTCCCTTCCGCGCTCCACCCTCCTCGCCATGCGCCCT